TTCTCACACCCCTGGTCCCTCCATACTGTTCTCTTTTTTTTTCTAGGCAGGGAGGGCTCTGCTTTCTTTTTAATACTTAAAAGGAGTAATAAGGGAACTTGAGGAGCACCCCATCTTTTCTAGCTTCCCCCTGGATGGAGTAGTGAGGAGCTAGTCAGGTGTCTGAGGGTAGGGTTTGATGTTCTGTTCTGATGACCCTAGGGGGCCAGGGTGATAAGAGCAGGGGGCCACATGGTAAATGCCAAAGGTAGAGCCCCTTTCTGGCTCTAGGCCCCACAGTATTTGGAAAACCATCATATCGCTCGGTTTAGAGCCCACAGGCAGGAATGGGGAGCCCTTTCTTAAAGGGGGCCCCTTGCATTCATGAAGCTGAAGGAAGTTTTGATTTGGTTGAAAAAAACCCATTCCTTTTTATGGCCTGGACATAATTGGCTCTTTTCTATTGGCTATCAGTGATGTCATTCCGACCCTCATAAAGAAGGGGAAATCACACCTGTGGACTCGGTGCATAAAATTTCATTGGGCAGCAGTAATAAGTATGGCCAGATGATGTTTGGGCAGTTGAGGAGCTTTGTGCCCAGTGATTCCAGCTGCACGGAGACCTGGGCACCATAAACCTGCATGCACGTTCATGCCCGCAGGCTAGTCCAGGGCCCACTGCCAGTGGCTCTTTTCTTGGGATCAATATCTGGTAGGAACTCACAGCATTCAGACCCTTTGTGCCAGGGGGACTTTACCCTTTTCCCTTCCAAGTTGGTGGAACCATGTACCCACTGGTACCCGCTGACCCTAGCTGTAGGATCCTAAGAACCTTGGACCCGGGTGTGACCTTGAGCAGTGACCGCCTTGCTACCTATTTCTCTAAAGCCCTAAACCTTGCCTTCCTGGAGACTGTAAAGAGCTCTGAGTGCATCTGCATGACTGATGCCTTCTAGTCAGAAGACTTAGATTCCGTTTCTGGTTCTGTCCTTGGCTTGTTTTATGTTCAAGCAAATCCTTTTTCTTCTCTGGGCCTGTTTCCTCTTTTAGGTAAGGGATGATGACTACTCTAACCCACCTTCCTCACAGGGTTATTCCCTTGGTGCTGGGATAGGGTTCTTCCATAGAAATGTGTAGCTGTCTTTCCCCTAAGGCACCTGGGAGTTCAGGTTCTGGCATTGGTCTCTGTCTCATGAAGATGGGCCTACCCTGCTACATCTGTACTACCTATGTCTTGGAGTCACAGGGCTAGGACCACCCACAGGCTAAAGGACTCAACAACCAGAATGCCTGTGAGTCTGCAAACTGTATGTGTACCTGTAGGTGACTGGAGCCCTGAGTGAGAATGGTAGTCCCTTTCTCCTCTGCTTCAGTCAGTCACTAGGTACAGACAGCACTCATGATTGCTGCTGAGCCATATGAGGCTAAGTATCCAACCTGACTATCCACCTGTCTAGTCTGTTCTTGATATAGGTCAACCTCCAAAAGGAACAAGCAGGATTCTGCTGAGCTGGACCCTTCCTACCTGGGTAGAAATGTCTACAGCTGATGGCTACCTTTGAAATCTTGCTGACGAGGGAGCCTCCCTCGCCCCCAGGGCTAGCCACAGCCAATAGGACTCCTGGCCTGTGTCAGCTGACAGAATTGGGGCATGGGGGTTGGCTAAGGGAGAATATAATAAGTGCCCCAGGACCCCTGCATTTTGCTGGCCAGTCACCCTGATCTGTTCCTTTGTAGAGTCTGCTGCTTATGGCGACCCCCTTCACTCACAGTTCTTAATGTGGTTTTTCAAAAATAGCTGAACTCAATAAGCATTTTCACAAATACCAAGGATAAAGACCATGAAAGAAAAATTGAAGGAAATAATAAAATTATCCAGACATTATAGCTCTGCTTGTTAGGCAACCACATTCTAGCTCCTGAGGCTACCTTTCTTCCTTCAAAGCCTTGCCTGACTTTCTTAGAGTCTTTGTCCTTGGTTCCCACATGGGCACATCCTACCTGGATACCCCTTCACCGTCTTGGCCTCAGCTAGAATTGCCCTTCCAGGATATTGACTGGTTGTAGTTAATATCACTGTGCCACCTGGATGTTTGAGAGGAACCTTCCCTTCAGATAAGCTATCTCAGGTCTTAGAAAAGTAAATCCTTACCAGTGTGCTTGAAACATGGGGATCAGCTTCCTGTTAGTGTCTGTCAAATAACTGAAGAGTAATGGAGGGAAGACTGGACTGCCCTGAAACTTTCTAGGGTGGAGTCAGTCATCTCAGCTGGATTCTCATTGCCACGCTTCCTAAAACAGGAGTTTCACTGTGGCCTCCACTGTCTTATCTCTTCCTCTGAAACACGTTGCAGGCTGGCTTTGCTCCCACGGCCTACTGACACCACATTCATTGGGCTCTTCTCAGCTCTCATCTTGTTTGACCACTCTATCACATTTGACACTAACGACCTGCATTTTAAGCTAAAAAATCAGTTTTAGATATAGGAATCCAGAAAGGGGAAGCTTGCTTTTACCATAGTTTGTGATGTGAAATGGGGTCAAAAGAGCACGTGTGACCTTGAGTAACCGATACCCTGAAAAAGGTCCAGGAATTCTTTTCTCTGGGAATGAGGGTGGGTTGGGTGAGCCCTGACTCATGGTACATTATCTCCTGTGAAATTCTTTTTTTTTTTTTTCTGTTTACTTTGCTCATTTATTCAGCTCTTTAGATTTCACGTATAAGTGAGATCATATGGTATTTGTCTTTCTCCGACTAACTTATTCCACTTAATGTAATGTCCTCTAGGTCCATCCATATCGTTGCAAGTGGTAAGATTTCATTCTTCTTTATAGCTGAGTAGTACTCCGTTGTATAAATGTACTACAGTTTCTTAATATAGTCATCTACCGATGAGCATTTCGGTTGTTTCCAAGTCTTGGCTATTGTAAATAGCGCTGCAGTGAACATAGGGGTGCATATATTTTTTTGAATTATCATCTTGGGATTCTCTGGATAGATATCTAAGACTGGAATTACTTGGTCATAAGGTAGTTCCATTTCTCCTGTGGAATTCTTGAAGGAGCTGGGGGCGTTGGACCTAGAGAAGGGAGCCCTGGGGGAAGTTTCCTGGGCTTTCAGATCTTGAGAGGGTTCTGTAAGGACGAGATGGAAATCTCATTCTCTGTAGTTTCTAATGACATACTTCAGGCTCGTGGGTGGAAGTTACTAGGAGACAGAGTTTAGTTCAGTATTAAGGAAGGATGTTCTAAGAATTGAAGGAGTCCAAAATCAGAGCGGGCTGCTGCATGAAGCAGTGACTTCCCTTGTGTGGTAATGGTCTGGTAGAGGCAGCCTGGATTCATTTTAGCTCAATAAAACTTAGGAGACGTAGGCCCTCTGCTCCTCTCATTCCGTACTCTTCTCAGGTGATCTTATCTATTATCATGGCTTTAACGTTACTTAAATTACATTAATGATTCAGCATTTTATATCTGCAGTCCAGACCTCTCTTCAAAACTGGACATCCAGCTGCCTCTTTGATATCATCCCATTGCCAAATGTCTCCTAAGCACCTCACACTCAAAAGATACAGAGTACTTACTATGTGGCAGGCATCTCTCTAAACCTGCATTCCCAAACCCGTGCCTCCTTCCAGTGGTGTACTCAGGGCGACACAGTGGTTTGGGCAGAAACAGGATGTACTGTGTGTAGGGAATTTAAAAACAATAATAAAATTGACTGGATGTCGGTCTGCTCTGGGTGTCAAATGTGCTCTCTCTGCCCCTGCCTCCTCCTTTGTACCTGTCTTAGTGAGCAGCATGGCGTGAAGCCAAGTCACAGACCTTTGAATTGGGCTCTACCACCTTCTGCCCCTGGGCCCCACATCCCCTTCAGCCACCAAGCCCCCCTGTACATCTCCAGTACCTGTTGCTTGCTTACTGTCATTACGACTACTGTCTAGTCTCCTGGCTACTACCCAGATTTTGTTCTTGCCTTGTTTTTGTTGCCTCGGAGCAATCTGGAAATTGTTCACAACTCTTCAGAGACTCTCTAGTGCCTGTGGACAGGCTCTTCTCTTAGCAAGAAAACTCCATGATCTTCCCCAGCTAAAGTTTCCGGTATCTTCCTCCGTCCTTCCATGTATCCCAATGCTCTAAGTTAAGGCTGTTTTGTCTATTTCTTGTATTGTCCATTCTACTGAACAAACTATAAGCCCTTTATGAGCAGGAGTTAAGTCTTATTTTTCGAATCCTAAGTACCCGACTCTTGTTAAATAAACATCAGTAGATATTAGGGTGAAAGGATTTGTGGGGGGCAAAATGGCATCATCAGCTTGAAGGGGAGATAGTTTATAAATTCGAATTTAAAGAAAAAATAAGAGCAGACTCTTGGTTTAAATTCTGACCTCTTCTTATCCTGCCGCGTGATCTCTTGTCTACCTGCAGAAGCCTGTTGCCAGAGACTTAAATGTGAATGGAGACCCCTGCCCAGCTGTCTCTATCTCACGTGCTCTTTCTCTCTCTCCTCCTGCCTTGTATCTCTGCCTCTCTGCTATAACAAAACAACAATAACAAACTAGTGCACTGGAAAGGACGTAGGCTTTGGAGTGAGACAGACATCGGTTCAGTTCGTGGCACTATCATTTTTTAGCTGTGGGACCTTAGGTAACCCCTCTGAATCTCATTTTCTCATCTGTAAAATGTAGGCCCCAGTACCTACCTCAAAGTATCATTCTGAAGAATGATAGAAAAATGTAAGCAAGATACTTAGCATATTGTAGGCAATCAGAAAATAGTAGCTGCTGATATTATTTTGAATAGAGTCTCCAGGTTCTCACATTTGGATCTGAGGGCTGGATCTGGAGCCCAGTGTCCAGGATGCTGGAGGTGGGGTGCCTTTCTTGGATGGGGTGGGACCCTCGGCTAATGGGTTGGCCTTTTGAGGTCTCTTTGTCCTATAGACTGCTGGATGGTCCAGCTTACGGCTCCATACCTGGGACTCGGTGTGCCCAACTTGATCTCTCTTCCCTTTCTTGTAGGCTCCCAGGCCAGTGCCAGTACTTGGGCCTGCCAGTAGCAGATTACTTCAAGCAGTGGATTAACCTGAAAAAGGTACTGTGTCTGAGCCCCATGTGGGTACTTCCTCTGGTTCTCCTGTGCCTCAGATCTCCTCTCCTTTGCTTTCTTTTCTCATTTCTTTTCTTTTCTTTTTGTTCTCATCTCTTTCCTTTTCTTTTTGTTCTTCTCTTTTCTCAACATCCCTCTTTCCTCTTTTCTAGTTAATATGCACTGGAAGGTTGTGGTGGTTTTGGGGAGTGGGGAGCTGCCTGGGGACTAGGCTGCTGGGTGGAGTATGACACTTTCCTACTTTGTGTCACTCAGATGTGCAGAGAAGTCCCAATTAAGGGGATTTTCCAGGTTCTTCCTGGATCTCTGAGCTGAATCTCTGGGCTGAGATGCATTACTCCTGGGAGAGATGTGTGCTACCTGAGCCTCTGGGAAAGTTCCCTCCTTTGATGTGATTATGAGTGTGGCCTCTGACCCTCCTGACTCACTCTGGTATCTCCCTCTGCTTGGGAGGTAGAGTTGGTTCAGGCTGGCTTTGGTCCTGTCTAGCCACAGCAGAGCCTTGCTCACGTGAGAAGGGCCATGGAAACTAGAATCCAGTTCCCTTTGAGTATACGGGAGGAGACTAGCACTAATGCAGCACTAAGCAGCTGGGGAGTGGGCTGAGGCTGTGGGCTGGAAGATAGTTAGGAAAGTGGACCCTGGTAGAGAATGAATCACCCAGAAAACTGTCCTTTCCTAGTGTCGGCTGTACTTCCTAGGTAAGCAGGAGAAAGGAGATGTAGGAATAAACTCCCCGGATCCCTGCTCTGGTGGGATCCTTGCTCCAGGAGGCCCAGGCCATTAGGGAGGCTCACCCCCATAAATCCTTCTGGGGCAGCCTCAGGAACCCTGTACCACCAGTCAGCAGTGACTCCCAGGAAGCTCAGAAAAGGGAGAACACACCAGAGGTCACAATAGTGGCTCCCAGCGGGCTCAGAGAAGAGAGAGGTTATTGGAGGATCAGGCTAGGATTGTAAGGATTTGGGCCTTGAACTGGGCATATTCAAGATATGGATCTGAGGAGGAGAGAAAGCTTTCTAGGCAGGGGGAGCAGTGTGCTTTTGGTGTGTGTGTGTCGTGGGGGAGGGCTGGAGCTAAGCGAGCATGTGGAGGAGCAGTGGGAGAGAATGACCTTGGATCTTGTTGCATAGGTCTCAGGGCAGCCATTCTTCATGACAACATTTGTGAACTGCTTTGCTTTCCCCTGGTATGCATGTCCTCTGCACTCTGGCTAGTTTGTACTTTGACTCCCACCACCCTCTCCTACCCATCCCCCGTGTACCTGAACAGGAGCTACTTACTTACTACCTGCCATCTGAAGGAGGCCAGGCTCTGCCCTACCTTCGGGCCTTGGCCTGTGGCCTTACCTCTCTCTGAAGTGCCTCCTAGTCATTTTCATCGAGCATATTCCCTCTCCTTAAAAATTCGGATCAGGCACCCTCCCCCCCCCTCCCCGAAAAGCTTAGCAGTCAGTCTCTTGCCTTGAGGCTCCTTGATACTTTGGATCTTAGTGTTGGAACTGAGTCCATGTGTGTGTTTCCTTAACAGCCATGACCATCTGGAGCACAGACACTGAGTCCAGTTTCTTTCTGTGTCCGCGGTGGCCAGAGCAGGGCTCAGTCCAGCGTATGTGCTCAGCACATGACTGCTGGCTGGCTGACTGGTCTTTGAGAGCTGGCTCCATAGAGGCCCTCTCACACGGGCCTTAGCAGAGCTGCGTGTGCGGGTGTGGCTGGGCCTGCGCTCCTGGGAGACAGCATGCCAGCTGTCAGAGTGCATCTGAGGCTGCTTGCTGGCTTTGGCAAATGCAATGTGAAGGCCCGGCCAGGCGAGGCGGGCGCTGACCATGAACAATTGCTTTGTGAAGTTCACTAGACTTTTGGTGTATGGATAGCTCTCTGCCTCTAGGTTCCTTGGCAGAAAGGCAGGAAAGCAGCTGACCCGTGTGGCAGCATTGCCACTCAGAGCTACCTGGGTGCCGCTAGGGTGGAGGCGGGCTGTCCTGAGCCTGTTCAGTGTGGTTCTCTGCCAGACTATGCTGAGCCATAGAGGGGTGAATGGGCACCAGGGGAAGCTGAGGACTCTATTCCCAGTTGGCCTTGTGCTTGCCCCCTGGGAGGTAAACTGAGCAGGTCTAAGAATAACAAGGGGTCTAGCCCTTTCCTTTCTGCCCTCCAGCAATATCCTGTGCCAGCTGTGTTTGAGGGCCCAGCAGGAGAGATGTCTTAGTTCCAGACTTTGGTCCCGTCCTTGCCAGCAGCCATTCCAGTCAGGGAGGCTGCAGGGCCCTAGAGGTGTAGGGGCATGGTGATCTTTCTGACCTTTATACTGCATGACTTGGTCCAGGCTGCACAAAGATTTCTGCTCCCTTAAAAAGAGTAACAAGAAAAGCAAAGCCAGAGAGGTCATTACCAAGGTTGTGGGAGTATTATGCAAAAGTCTTACTCCTTGCTTTCTTTCCCTATGTGTGACCCACCCCTTGGCAGTCTACAGGATCCTCTCCTGTCCTTGATCTTACTTTGTCCTCTTCCTTCCCTTCCTTCTCCTCTCCTCCTCAACTCTCCTACAGAGCTTTGCCCCATGAAAAAAAGGGAGTGTCCTCGTCTGCTCGGCCACCTACACCTGCCTAGTGAGTGAGCAACTGGGACTGAATTCACCATGTTCATTTCCTAAGGCCTCTAATCGGAGAAGAGGCTAAATGTCTTCCAGCTGCCCTCTTCTGTCCAGTAATGGTGTGGGTTGCATCAGGGGAGAGCAGCTTTTCAATGACCAGGTTTCCACGTCTCCCGCCTCCACCTACTTCCCCTGTAGCA